TTTTCCCCTTCTGCCCCCTTTTCCCCTCTTTATTCTCCCTTTTTCCTTTTCTATTTTTTTCAGTATTTTCCCCTTCTGCCCCCTTTTCCCCTCTTTATTCTCCATTTTTCCTTTTCCCCTTTCCTCCTCTTTTTTCCCCGTTTTTCCTTCCCCCCCTTTTTTCTTTTTTTTTTCTTTTATCTCCCTTTTTTATATTTTTCTTTTTTTTTCATTTCCGTTTTTCCTTTACTCCCCTATTTTCCTTTCTTTTCTTCCTCCCCCTGCTTTTAATCCTTCTTCTTTTTCCCTTTTTTTAACTTACCACAACTCCCAGTGCCCCCTAGCACACCACACTGCAACTGGATTTTTTCCCTGCCTTAGTGCCTATAACCTTTCTCTAAGGAGAAAAAAAAAAAAAAAAGCGTTTCCATCCTCTGCAAGCAGCATTCTAGCAAATTCCTTGAACAATTTATGACAACTACATTAAGCCATACTACAGCCAATGCTGGCCAGAGCTCTAGGCATCGTTGTCAGTTTCCCCGATGCTGAGGTTCAAACGATGCCAGCTCATTCTCAACAGGAGCCTGAGCTGCCCAGGAAGGCAGCACAGAGAAGTGGATGTTCCTGTTTTTCCAAAACAACCTCTTAATTATGCTCCTTACTATAATAACAGCCTTTTTCCAACACTTTAGCAGTGAGAGCTATTAATTTAGAACCCAAGGTCTAACAATAAAAACCAGCGTCTTTTGGTAGACCACAGCCCTTCTTACACTAATGCAGATGTCCCCTGATACTGCCCATTCAGGCAGGACTCCTTGTTTGTGACACAGCAGATCCTCACCAACAGAACAGATTGAATAGACGATTTTCTGTCTGGTCATAAAACACATCTTGTGTGACAGGGAGAGTTCATGTGCAGTTACTCATCAAAAAGTCTGGCTGAAGTGCACAGCAATAAAATGTGGTTTTAAAATAGCCATATGCAAAGCTACAAGTAAGGAAAGACAGCCACACCACATTCCTGCTGTATTCTTATTGCAGGGATGCTATTTGCCCTAAACTGCCACAGCTCATAGAGAAACAAGGCCCATCCAAGTGCTGACTGTCTCTTTTTTGCTCTACCACTGTGCAGGAGATGCTGAGGAGGACTCACCCCCACTGAGTGTTGCACACCCATGTCTGGCATTGGCTTCGAGAAAAACAAAGCTACACAGTAGAAGATGCAGCTGTTACCCCTAAGGTTCAGCAATCAACCCATTTCTCGCTCTTTGAACAGAAGACAAAATCATTAAGACTGGATCTAGATCAGGTCTCTGCAGCCAACACACCCTACTACAGCCCCAGATGGGCTGGGCTGGGCCACAGCACCAGATACCTACCGGCAGGAAACCTACACATCCCAAAGCTGCACCTCCTCCAGACACTTCAGGTGGTGCAAGAAAACCTGAGCCAGCTCTCAGCATGGAAAAGCTGTGTTTGCACAGGCTGGGGGGCAATTGCTCATGGCTTTTCCTTATGGCCACAAAGATTCTTGGTTTGGAAAGCTGGCTGCTACAGTCCCTCACAATAAATGCTCAGCTATCCCAGCACGGCATTCCATGGAATCATCATCCAGCTTCTTGGGTTTTACACTGGCAGAAGATACTCAGCGTGTCTATCTCCTTCAGAGAGCCAAGCATTGCTCTCTGCCTGCCCAGGAAATGATAAACTGAGACAGAAGGAACAATGAGATGGATAAAAAGGAAACAATGACTGCCAGAAATAGAGGTGTTTCTTTTCCAGAGATTTTCCATCCTAACAAGGCCTCTAACAAGGTTCAGCATTCTAAGAGTGGCACATATACACCTGTGTGCAAGGGGAAAGAGCTGCTTCACACAGCTGGGGAAAATCTTGCCAGCACCTGCAGCGCCTCTCTTCGCAGAGATTTATTTCATGTGGGTTCAATTCCTTATCCTTACCTCTCATCTTATGGAGAAGGTGTAGGAAGAATTCCAACTAATTTCATTAATTCCAGATTGGAGGCTGGGGAAAAAAAAAAACAAAACCTCAAACAAAATTCAAAACCTCTTGAATTTGAAAAAAAAATTTTTTTTTTTCTTTTTCTAGGTTAAGGCTAGAATGTTGGGTTGTGATTGGGGCCATTATTTGAATTTGAGAAATCACCCTTCAAAAATACCTGTTTAGTCAAGTGCTGAGAACAGGAAAAGCAGAGCTGGTTAAACGCAATTTGGAGTCAAAGTGATGTCCAAGGGAATTGCTCACCTCTGGAATAAGCATAGTGACAGCAAAGTACTTGTGCATAAGACTAATTAAGTTCGGGTTGGTTTTCATAAACAGGAATTTTAGGAGGATTTCTTCTGCAGACAGCAGCATCACTCTCAATCCGGGGTACTGTCCGGTGTGGGCTCTTTCCAAGCTGGTCCAGGAGAAGCAGATCCTTCATAACCTGTCAGAAATCCTGGCCCCACTGAAGCCAGCCAAATACACATGGATTTAATCAGGATGAGGATTTTATGTCACCTACTTGAATGTGAAAAAAAGAGAAAGGACTCCATTCTGCTCTCCCACTCTCTCCCTGGGTCAGTCAGACCTGCCTTATTTGTTGTTGCAACCCCTAGTTTTGGAAGGAACAGTCATACAAGTGCACACACACCCTTTCTCCAGGCCACAGTGTATTTTCCAGCTTAGCAGGTTATCCCCAGACGTGTGAAGATTTCAGAAGCAAAGCCCAATCCCAGCAGTGAGAATGCTGTGGATGCATCTCCTGCAACAGCTGCTGGGGGACAGGGACACCACGACCCCTCCACGTGCCAAGAGCCCTCACACGCCAATAGCCTGACCTGGAAAAAATTGCCGTCCTTGTTAAAAATCACCTTACAACGTGACATTGCTTCTCCTTTCTAACAAGAAGGTCTACATGGGTGTTTTAAATGCTAATTTTGGTGCTTTCTGAAATACCCGGTGACCTGCGGTCGCCTCCCATCGCTTACATTTACAGTTTTTGTCCTGACAGCCTGGGTAGGCAGCTCAGAGTAAAACCCCTTCCAGCTCTTCAGATGATTTTCACTACTGCTCACTCGGGCTATTAAGATTCTCAATGCGTGTATCTGGTTTCCAATAGTACAAGCTGCTTCGGAAAGGTTAGACTTTGTTTTAAATAGCTCAGCCATCTGTCCTGCGGTGGCTGATGGGAGCTGCAGGGACCGAAGCAGCCAAAACAGAATTTTTCAAACTGTCAGTTTTTCATTACCAAACATTTCAGCTCGAATCAGACCCATGTCCTTAAAAAAAAAAAAAAAAAAAAAAAAGTTAGGTCTATATTTTTTCCTTGAGTATTTTAAAAAACACTGTGAGTCGTGCTTTAACAGCTTCCTTGCGTTGCTGGAATTTCATCAATGCAAATATCTGGCCTGAACTTCACCAGCGCCAGGCACTTTGCAAAGCACAGAATCGGCCACATTTGTGTGTTTCTCGGCTTTGAACTAAGAAATGCTCATTTATTACAGGTAGCCACGACACACAGAACCAACACGCAGCAGTAAGGAAAACACTTCATGTATGGAAATCAGGCACATGGACCTGCATTTTTCTCAGCCAGTTCCTAAATGTCAAAGCTCTGAGTTCACCTATTCTGCAAAGTTAAATCAATTTATTCACCTAATTCACAGGACTCACTTTCTTAATTTGACATTATTTTTGAGGGAAATGGGTTTAGAGTGCACAGGCCAGCTATGTGCAGCAGCTGTTACAGCAGAATTGCTAATTCCCACATGGGTGGGAAAACAAAAATACATGAGAAGAAATTTGTATTTCCTTAGGCAAATGCTGCTCCACATCAAACAACTAAGAATGGCCATCATCTACCCCTCAGGGAAAATGCCAGTGATCTCCCAAGTACTACCCTGGAAAGGCCCATGTAACAAACTATCACCCAGGAGTATCCAAGGAGACAAGACAGACAACAAATATATATTAATCAGAACAACATACCAAAGTTTATTGATTACTTCAAACAAAAGTTTCTGTAATGAAAAAAGAGCAAGTTGCATTCATAAAAGGTAACATTCACATTCAATTTCCTTTATATAAAGCAACATAAATGTATAAAATTGCATTTAAGTGAAAAAAATGTAAGGTTGCAGTCCTTTTTTTTGCAAGAAGCTGAAAATGTATCTGCTCATTGCCTGTATATAATTTACATTTTCTATATACTACATGTTTTTTAAAAAAATTCGTAGCTGGGAAATTGGATAAATGCTGCAGTATTAGGTAAGTTTTTCAACTGTGTGTATACAAATTCAATTTGAAGCTTTTATGCAATTCCAAGTAATTTATAATATTCTCATAACGATTAGGATTAGTGTTTGAGAAGTCGCTATGACTACACCAAGCTCCACTGTTATCATGTAACAGTTTTAGAGGGAATCTTAATTACTTTCCTTATCTTTCAGTGTCACTAGTCAGTGATTAAACTTCAACAAATTATTATGAGAAAAACCCAGCCTTTTTTTCCTTCAAGATTTTCCACTGATAAGCCTGTACTGACC